TGTGTNTTTTCAACAAGGCAATAAGGTAAGTCCATTTTATTTCAAAACAAGACATTTTTCTCTCTTTTAAGGCAAACCGATAACATCCGATACAAACCTTTAGAAATATAAAACGTTGCGCAACACTGTAAGAGTCACGTCCGCTTTTCTGGGAGTGAGCTTGGGCTGCCTGTGAGTAGAGAATGCTTTCGGTCCTTTCGATGTACGCGTTTCGAACGAAAGGCCGTTTTAACGTATTCTGCTAGAATAAGTATACTGTTTTCAATTATCGGGAAACTTGAAACGCAATTTTTAAGATCAGTATTTCCAATCGCAGCTCTTGTGCATGACTTCCAGTAGTATTATTTAAGCAGTGAAATGTGAAAACGACAACAATTCATGACCAGCTCAGTTCATCTTCTATCGCGTGGATGGGCTTTTGTATCTTTCCATAATATGTCTGGGACGTTGGATATGTTGTAGTTTGTCCAGTTACACCCTTTTAAGGAGGTCGGATTCTCGCCTTGTCATAGGTGATTTGTTGTGGTCCACAAAACTTTAGGCCAACCGTGTCAAGTTACATGAACTTTGATTAGACCATCATATTTGCATATATAAATTAAAACAGGCCCCATCCACACTAATGTGTAGTGAAAAGCGAAACGGAAAGCTCACTTTTTCTTTCTGAATTAAATAGACAGTGACACTCTTAGTCTTCGAGTGGTCGTAGTTTTCGAGGGGTCTTAGGTCTTGGGTCTTAGTTTTCGTGACACCCCTGGCCAAATAGTTACAATAACTGCCAAAGTTACCCATTTGTATCCTTCAAAGACTGTCGGTTCCAAAAACCTACAACTTTAACATGCCATTATAGCTATCCATCAGGAACCATGAAAATGACATTACATGAGAACTTTGTTGGCAGAGTTAAGCAGGGTGACACGTACACCTTCCGTGATATATGTGTATACAAAGGTAAGATGAGCCATGAAATCTGCCTAAACACTGCCAAATCTGGCTCCACAGTCGAATCTGCCTCACAGTTTCAAGAAGTTCTCCCATTTACAGTCTTTGAAAGTATTACAGTTAATGGAGAAATAATTGGAGTTAATCAAGTTGTTTCCTATCTGTCCTGCTGTAAGTGCAATAAAAACGGGCCGACGTTCTCGACCCAGTTTCTTACCTGTATTTTTGCTGCGCGCGCCGTTGTCAACTGACGTTCCCGTCCTCTTGCTAAATCTGGCTATTAGCAACATTATGGAGGAATCACCCCTAGAATTGTACGCTATTCTTGGTAAGGCAGATACAGTAAGAAGTACTGCTCCTCGTCTAGAGCTTTCTTCGTTCCAATCCCTTCCACAGATGGGCGCATCAAAGTCTAATGCATTGCAAAATGCATTCTGTCTGCTTTCTTTCCAAAACTGAGTAAAATCTTTGGATGCAAAAGATGCTGTCATCAGCTTGTAAGATCTTACCATATTAAGAACATACTCCTGTGTATGTTCAAGAACTACAAAGAAGACTCGCATTGGTCAGGTAGCATGGTTCCAGTTCGAGTTTTAGAATTATTTTTTATACTAAGGGAATGCATGATTTCTGATGATGAATCAAGTTATTATGCTGCTGTTTCCATGTACTGCTTTCCAGGAACTCTTTATGTAGAAAATGTTACAAATTTAAGTCCATATTATAATTCTGAACAGGGAGGCAAGTTCTTTTTCACCCCTGATTCTCACAAGCCTATGTATGAATTAAGCTCATCGCCAGTTTTTGAAAGTCACCTTTTGACTGGAAATGAAGAGGCTGACAATCTACTGAGAGAATGGTTTGAAAAGTTAAATTATAACAAACCTTGGAATTCAAGAAAACTGCTGTTATATTTAATCAGTTTTCTCAATATCCCTAATGAAACAGTCAACTGAAAAAACCATTCTAACACCATTTTTTCTTTTTGAGGAGACACAAAATTCCTTAGTAGATATTAATTACCAAAGTCATCTTATGCATATGCTACTCAACTCTTACCTTACCTGCTATTGTTCAAAACCATTTCTTTCACTTAATATTCCACTTTTTTCTTTGAGATATGAACTTATACATACAAGGAAAACATCAACTATTAGTGTCACATGTTAAGTTTTTCAATTTTGTTTTCAGTCTTCATGTAAACAGTCCATTACTTGTCCTATCCTGTGAATGAGGGTACACGCTGGGACTTACAGTTTTTCATCTTTTTATTTTAGCATCATGGAGACATGTAGAATGGCGAAGAGAACTTATTAATAGTGTGAATGTGTACAAATTGAGAAATTACCTTGAAATAAGAGAGGAATTGTCAACACAAATGATAAAAAAAAAAAAATACAGAAACACATTTTATTCACCACCACTTCTCACTGTTGTTGTTGTTGTTGTTTGCCATTTCAAGGTGGACAAAAACTTCAAACCCTCTTTTTAATAACCTTTCTCATTGCCCAATTTGAGTACAAAGATAAAAAATTAATTTGACTATGATCTCCATTTATGCACTGATGCATGCCTGAAATTTAAAATTTGATCTATTTTCAGTATTAGAGTACTTCTTTGTGATGTAGCGTACTGCAAATTTTAAATAGAAGTCCGACTCCATACAGTAACTTTTAATTTATTGCATAATGTCGCGTTCCCAGCGCAGCAGACACGGGGTGTAGCGTAATTGGGTTCGCCAGGTCAACCACAGTGAATGAAGTACAGGATGGACAGCAGACTCTTACACACGTTTATTTGGACTAAATCATGTAATCAGGCTAGCCCACTTGTTACAACACTTGCGGTGAAAACTAAAAAGGAATGCACGATTTGTCTAAGCTAAGGAAACAAGCTAAACTACAAATCTGACAACAGAAAACACAACTGACAATCGTGAGTTACGTTTGATCTTGACTCTGGGTATGAGAAAACTCCAAGTTGTAAAAAAAAACTCTGAAAGACTCCTATAAAACTCCTCTTTACTCCAGGGACAACTCCTTAAAACTAAAATGTTTGCGTGAAAAAATGCCTAATATACTTCTATGATGTAAAGGAAACTAAACTGAAACAACTCTTTGTGCAGCTAGCCAAAAAAGGATATTTTATAATCACGTAATCAAAACGACACAAAGCTGCATTTTAAGAAAAAAAAAGGTCATATAAAGTTGTAAAGCGTTCTTTGCACAGCAACGTGACAGATAAAAATAACTTAATTTACTCCAACATATATAAAATATTCAGTTAATAGATAAGTGGTCCTCCATATGTGATGAATACAATTTGTTTCAAATAAGATGTTAATAACATTCAAGTAGAGTAGTGATATTATTGGCTTGAAGCTTATGCTCAAATCAAATGTCAAACATTCACCTGAAGACAACTGCATGGACCAGTCATATAATTGATGAAATTAATTTGATACAACCTAAAACAAACTTCTCATCCCTTTCATTTTACTCCACCAGGGGTGGTTAAAGATGCTTCATGAAATGAAAATATTTCAGGATCAATTTCAATTTAAAAAATTGCAAGTGCACATCACGTCTTAACATGAGTCTGCTAAATATTAATGGTTTTAAAACTGTAAAGTAATCTCTAATCATTTAGTGGAAAGTATGTCAAGATTCCCTTAATGTCAATGAAGGAAGCCAGAATTCAAAATTGCCATTGCTTCCATAGCTTTTTTATCAAACATGTTCTTGGTTCTGTTCCAAACAGGATCCTAAAATTCAAAGAAAAAATTCATGCTTTTAATAAATCTGAAGGTAATTATTGTGTAGTTAAAGGAAATAGCCACATCACTCTTAAGAGAAGTTATTGAAAATTCCAGGGGGGGAGGTAGGGGGAAGGGAGGAGGTTCAGATTTGAAGATTTTAGGGAAGTGCAAGGTATATGAAGCCAAACTGTAATTCTACAGGGGTGGTATCAGGAGGGGATACAAGCAACCTACCAGGTACCTTATTTTACCACCAAGATTGATAAAATAAACAGTGAGTTGTTGCATATACATACATCGCTTAATCTCAGCAAATAAGGTGTCATCTTATTGGCAAATCTCTGACTACTTTCACGGGGTAAAGCAGAAGGCAAGTGATCTATAGCTATGACATCAAGTTTCTTAGCAGATCTGAAAAGGGAAAAATTAGAAAAAATAATATAAAACAATAAATTTCCAAATTACACAAGATATTTTAACAAAGCAAAAACTGTTAATGGGGTCACTTACACAAAACTGACAAATCCCACTAAAAGAAATGAACAATGACACCACAAAATTTGAACCGAGCCAATCAGTGTATGGCATCAAGACAACACAGATGATAAAGTCTTATCGTTACCAAATAATAAAATTACCACAGATAGTTTTATGTGATTCAGGAACGTTTCCATTTAACAGAAAGAATTACTTAATCACAGGCAAGTATGTTTCTTACAAGAAAAAAAAAAAAGACATTCTGAAAACCACAGTTACAATTGGGCATGTGCAAAAATGGCCTGAAACCTTTCTACCCTTTTTTTTTGTCCTGTCCTTTTTTAAATTCATATTAGCCACTGTTTAGGTTATACAAAAAAAGTTAAATAAGGAACCAATGACTTACCTAAGCCTTATTCTGTCACAGGGCTTATCAAATGAAGTTGTTGCATGGTAGAAAGGCAAAGGGTTGTATGGATTATTAGGATCACAGCTCACATCAACCACCACACTCAGGTTCCTGGAAATAAAACAACACAGTGAATTGCTTTAAGGGACCAGATTCCAGGTCAAGATTGAGATTTGAGCCCTGGCTGTGGCAGTTGTGTTTTGGTGAAACGTGTACTTAAAATCCGGCCATTCCTCTCTCCACCTAGGAGTACAAAAGAGTAGGGGTACTACTGAGTTGCTGAAAAACCCTGACAGTTCAATTTCTTCTTATAATATTACCCCTGAATTACATACATACATACATACATAGGTTAGTTGACCACTCCCCATAGGGGCTTTTCAGGGCCAATTCCCACCCATCCCACCCCAGGGG